TAAATTTTTAGATAATTAATTTCTTTATTGAGTTAATTTCTTTGCAAACTTGCATTTTCTTTGCTGGAAGATAGAAATTGATGCACAAGTTATCTCATTGTGAAATGTGAAGTGTGAACACACGCACATAGATGCCAAGCACACTTTCTTGCATTTTCTTTTCAGCCAAACAGTGAGCATAATGGTTCTCTTAGGATGAGGATCCATTTGGCTAATATGAACATTGGCATTTTTTGTTTGTGTTGTTGAACTGTGTTCACACAAATAGTGCAGTTGTCTTGTTCTTCATTGGATCTTCCATTATCTTTTTAGTGCTCAACTACTATTCAAAGACACAATCTCAAGAGTGTTTGATGATTTAATTGTATACTAAAAATTAATTAATTTTTGTTAAATCATTGAACTAAAAAATTATTAACCATGAGTGGAGAGACTTCTGAAATATTAACTAAGTTTTGGAAAAACTATCACATAGGTTTACCTCATATCCTACCTGATATGTTCATACAATTCTATTGGTTTCATACCTATTATTTCTTATTATTCTTATACATTACATAAATAACCAATAGATAATTGAAAAAATACACAACATAATTGAAAATTTTAAAAGATAAAATAATTCCTCCTAAGTTTTAAATGACTTAAAAAATAATGTGGTATAATTTTAATAGTAAAAAAATAATAATAAGTTGGGTTGTTTGATGTCATCATCATGTATAGTTCCAATTGTGAGATAAGTCAAGGCTAAGTAGGTTTCACATTTTTTTTTATTGGTCCATATCCATATGAGATAGTTTTGGAACGATGTGAATCACTTACCCAAAACGAGGCCCATTTTAACATCCAATGGTACCCCCAAAATAGCCTCCCAAGTTTTCAATTTGGTTGGCATCACATCAATTTTGATATTAAAAATCTAGCAAGCTCCCAAAATTCTGTCTCAATATAATTTTAGTCATATTATTATATTTTGAGATTTTCATGAATGAGAATTCTTAATATCTCATATTGAAATAGAGAAACAGAGATAATTGAAAACAAATGATCTCTTAACCAATCTAGTTAGATAATCTTATTTCGAGCAGTAAAATCTCTATTCAAATCTATTTTGTCCCTTTTCTCCTACCAACTCTAAGATTCACTTTCTCCTACCACTTCTAAGATTCATTGTGTGATTTGATTGAAAGGATGATTTAGGCAGATGATCCGATCTTATTAGAATAGCACTTCAACGTTTAATCAAGCATAACATTAGATAAATTAAAACAAATGATACTTGAAAAGTAGCCATTATTGGGTCCTATCACTTTATAAACAAAAAAACCCATCATTGTAATTTACATTTTCAAGATTATTATTACTACATTCTGATATACAATTCTGTATAGTTTTTTTATTTGTGAATCACTTTTTAGCAATTTTTTAATGGTCAATTAACATTGTGTTTTTTTCTTGGTAGCTCAAGCTCTAGGGTTGCCATTTTTGAGCCCATATTTGCAATCAATTGGATCAGATTACAGACATGGGGCCAACTTTGCAACATCGGCATCAACAGTTCTCCTGCCAAAAAGTTCCCTATTTGTCTCTGGGCTAAGCCCTTTTACTCTGGCCATTCAGCTCAACCAAATGAAGCATTTCAAGGTTAAAGTTGATGAACCTCAATCTAATGGTAAAAATCGAGTGCACCATGGTGCTTCTACATTCAATTGATTATTTTGTCTACTCTTATTTGGGTGGAGAATATTTTTGACATTTTTTAATATTTAGTATGATGAAAAGTGAAGTCAATAGAAAGTATTTTCTATTGTCATTAAAAAACCGAGTTAATTTTGGCTGAAAGCATCTTTTACCACCACCACTTACAATCATTGTCGTTGCCACCACCTTTGCTTCACCCACACCACCTTACTATCATTACTAGAACCACCAATACTATGATTTTCAAGATTACAACTAAACACAACAAAGTGTTTTTTTGGCAGAAGACGTTTTTTGAAAAATATGTTTGATAAAATGATGCATAACATTATATATTTTTATTTTATATTTTATAATTAATATTTAGTTAGGCATATTTAATTTAGTATATAATAATATAGATTTATTTAATTTATTAATTTTCATTTTATGCAATTTTTGTATTCTATTAGCTATGATTTTTATTTCTTATTTTATTAGTTTCTTATTCTCCAAGAAATAGGTTAACTATAAAGTTGTAGGCCTTAGAGTTATGGAGTTGAAGTTGATATTTGATTAATAAAAATTTAGAGTTTTCTTAATGTTATTCGTTCGTAGAGAGTATTTTTAATTCGAATTTGGTCGTGGTTCAATTTTGTTCTTTGCCCTTTTTTTCGATGCGCTTCCCTACATCATAAAATATTTTTTTTTTAAATGATTTTTATCAAAAACAAAAAATGTATACTTCTAATGAGAATGTGAACTTTATTTTTTTTAGGTAGATAACTTTGAATGTTGATTGATTTACAGGATCAAACAATCTTTCACAGACAGACATATTTGGAAAATCAATATTCACGTTCTATATTGGTCAGATTGACTTCACTTCCAACTTAGGATCTCTTGGCATGAGTGGGTCAAAGATTATGCTTTCTCAAGTGGTTTCCCAAATTGCCGCCACCATTAAGGTCAGCATTTTCACCGACTTGGGTTTTGTCAATATAGTATAAATTCACAATAAAAATGCTAAAAACACATTACTTTGTTATGCATTTCACCAGAATGAATGTAATTTTGTGCACCCTTTTTTAAAATTGTTTTTTAGTGGAAAATTTTGCGTTTTTAGCATTAATGTTTGTGAAAAAAATTATATGGACTCGATAGACAAATATACTTAATCTTGCATTAAAATGGAGTTGTTGACAATATTACATTCGTCCCAGATAAAGTTTACATTCCAGTAAAATGAATGCACTACTGCTAGTGTTATATTCTGTAGACTTTTTAAAAAAAATTATGTGTTTCTTTTTATTGATTTACAATATATCACAAAATTAGGTTGCATAATAAATGGGCCAATGACTTGAATATATATATCATGAAATTTGGTACTTAGTGGTGTTTTAGAAAGTTGGTAAAAAGTTAATTTTTTGACTTTTTTGACAAAAAACTAAGTTATTTTGGGTAAAAAAACTGACTTTTTTAACTAAAAACACTAAAATATCAAAAAATTAGTTTTTTTTAGTGTGTTTCTAAAAGATCCCTAATCTTGCACCAAAGTGGAGTACGGGTAGCACTGCATTTGATCTTGATAGGGCTCACATTCAAGGAGAATGAATGCACTGTTGTCAGAACTACACTCACCGCACTTTTATCAAAAAGTTTAGAATAAATTTTACTTTACTTTTTTTGATTTTGAACCATATGCAATTTATTCTTAATGTTTAGAAATTAACTATATAACTCCTATATGATTTGTAAATTGACAAAAAACTAAGTTATTTTGGGTCAAAGCTGACTTTTTTAACTAAAAACACTAAAATATCAAAAAATTAGTTTTTTTTAGTGTGTTTCTAAAAGACCCCTAATCTTGCACCAAAGTGGAGTACGGGTAGCACTGCATTTGATCTTGATAGGGCTCACACTCAAGGAGAATGAATGCACTGTTGTCAGAACTACACTCACCGCACTTTTATCAAAAAGTTTAGAATAAATTTTACTTTACTTCTTATGATTTTGAACCATATGCAATTTATTCTTAATGTTTAGAAATTAACTATATAACTCCTATATGATTTGTAAACTAAAGTCTACCATTTATTTTTTCATCCAAATTAACTGACTATCGGTTCACACGCTCATGAAGAGAATAAGTTTTATTTAAAACTAAAATACCCTTACACATCTTTAAATTTACAAAAACATGCTATTCTTCCCTAAACCTATATATATACACACACACATACACATAAATTTTTTTTTTTTTTTCATTTGTCCTCTAATGGCTACCACTGTATGTATCAATGAAGTTTGTTGGGTCAAAAAAGTGGCAAGCAATCAACAAAAACTTTCTAGTGGGTTTGATTTCATTATTCAATTTTTTATTATGGTTGGTAGGTTTGATTAGCTTGATTGTGTTATGAGCTTTGGTTGACGTATGGTGGGCTTTTCACTGGACTCTGTTTTGCTATGGGTGACTAATCTTGATTTGATTACATGTGGTGATGGGTTTAATTTCGTTGTTCAATTTTTATTGAATTTCTGGTTGGTGGGTTTAATTACCTTGATTATGTTATGAATTTTGGTTGAATACAGTGGGTTTTTCACCGGCCTGGTTTTCCAATGACTCTTGAAAACTGGTGAGCTTCATCTTCTCAAATTGACTTCGGAGCTACGTGTGCGAAAACAATTTTAAAAAATTTGAAAACAACTTTCATGTTTGCTAAAAAGCTTGTATTTTTCAGAAAATTTCCAAAACAGTTCATAGAACAAGTATTATCCGAAAATGAAAACCCAACAAAATAATCCCAAAACATCAAAACCCACTGAAGGAAAAAAAGTGCAAGAACCAAACTGAATCAGAATCATAACTTGAAACACTTTGAGAACCAAATCCAAGAATAGAAACATTCACAAATCTGAACAAAAACCCTGATCAGAAATAGAAAAAAAGAGAAAATATTGTGAATCTACAACTCCATGGACAACTCCAGCCTTTTTGGTTAAATACGGTGGGTAATCCATGAGCAATTGACTTCCCATGGAAATTGTGCAAGTGTATTGGTGAGCAAGAGGAAGAAGACGAGAGCATAAAGGTTAATTTACATGTTTTGTTAATAGAAGTTAGTGTGCATTTTAGTTCACAAATCACGTGCAGGGTTATGTGATTATTTTTAAATAATAGGGAATAAACCGTGTATGACCCAAACCATAAGAGGTGAAGTGAAATTTGCTCAAAAATTTATATAATTTACAATGTCCACCAAACTTAGACTGCATAATATATGGTCTAGTGACCTTAATGATTGTGGAAATTCAAGGAATTATACGGGCTAGGAGGACGGACATTTCTGGTACTTAATCTAGCACCGGTGGGTTGTTACCCGTTGTTTTTGGCGGAGCTACCACACAACAGCTTCGACCTTGACGCATTCGGATGCGTAATTTCCTATAACAATGCAGTGGTGGACTACAACAACATGTTGAAGGAAGCTCTGAATCAAACCAGACAAGCAATCCCAGATGCTTCTCTGATATATGTGGATACTCATGCTGTTCTGCTGGAGCTCTTCCAGCACCCCACATCTCATGGTATGGTTCGATTCAAACCAATGCCTCAAAAAAGTCACATAACTCATATCATACCATGTGTATCTTCAATTTATGGGATTGACAACTAATGTATACATGTACTAGTAAAATTCTGTCCTTGAATCACTTCATTATTTGGAAACAACATTAATCGTTAGATTTTCAACTATATTATATAGGACATTTTCATAATTGTTAAATTTATTCAATTTAAATTCTTAATTATGGCATATAAGACATTTTTTAAAAACTGGTATGTTTTATTATATAAATAATAATAATTAGAATTGCTTACAAAGTTGGTACTACTTATACTTTTATAAAAGTTGCAAACGTGAGATTTTAAATTTGTGGATTGTTTATGAAAGAAAAAGATAAAATAATAAGTAAGATTAGTCTAGTTGGCCAGAACTTTTGCACTAAATTACAAGGTTAAGAATTTGATTCACTGTTCCTTATACTACAGGCTTGAAAAAAAAAAAGAAAAGAAAAAGCAAGAGATAAATAAAAAAGTTTCCCACATTTCCTTTCTTTTTTATTTTCTCTCCACAAATTCTTCATGAATACACTAGGGAAAAGTGAGGAAGTTGAAACCATAGTCTTCTACCTTGAAACCCTACTATTCATCCAAAAGGGGTTCTTTCCTTGAATCCATATAGAGATAAGAGATATTATTTCTCTGTAATTTTACAATAATGTTAAAAATATTAACTAATGTACTTGCAAACATGCCAACTATATCATATTGCAATTTATGTTTTTGTTGCCACTATTTATTTTTCATTATTTTGACACACAAATAGAACAAGTTCAAGGTTGTCACACTCACATGTTTGATGATGAAACAGAATTGAAGTATGGTCCAAGAGCATGTTGTGGATATGGGGATGGAGATTACAATTTTGACCCTAAGGTGTACTGTGGAAACACTAAGGTGATCAATGGGAGTACTCTCACAGCAACAGCTTATAGTGATCCGTACAACTATGTGAGTTGGGATGGAATACATGCCCTGAGGCTGCAAACAAGCTTGTCACATATGCTATTCTCAATGGCTCTTACTTTGATCCTCCATTTCCTCTTCATCAGCTTTGTGATCTCAAACCTATAGACTAATGTATTTATCTTTCTGAACTTAGGATTGTAATAAATAATACAATAATGGGTTAATTTCACCCATGGATTGTAATAAATAATACAACAATGGATTGTAATAAATAATACAACAATGGATTGTAATAAATAATACAATAAATTAACCCATTGTTGTAATAAATTAACCCATTGTTGTATTATTTATTACAATCCTAAGTTTAGAAAGATAAATACATTAGTCTATAGGTTTGAGATCACAAAGCTAATGAAGAGGAAATGGAGGATCAAAGTAAGAGCCATTGAGAATACCATATGTGACAAGCTTGTTTGCAGCCTCAGGGCATGTATTCCATCCCAACGCACATAGTTGTACGGATCACTACAAGTTGTTGTTGTGAGAGTACTCCCATTGATCACCTTAGTGTTTCCACAGTACACCTTAGGGTCAAAATTGTAATCTCCATCCCCATATCCACAACATGCTCTTGGACCATACTTCAATCATGTTTCATCATCAAACATGTGAGTGTGACAACCTTGAACTTGTTCTATTTGTGTGTCAAAATAATGAAAAATAAATAGTGGCAACAAAAACATAAATTGCAATATGATATAGTTGGCATGTTTGTAAGTACATTAGTTAATACTTTTAACATTATTGTAAAATTACAGAGAAATAATATCTCTTATCTCTATATGGATTCAAGGAAAGAACCCCTTTTGGATGAATAGTAGGGTTTCAAGGTAGAAGACTATGGTTTCAACTTCCTCACTTTTCCCTAGTGTATTCATGAAGAATTTGTGGAGAGAAAATAAAAAAGAAAGGAAAGGTGGGAAATTTTTTTATTTATATCTCTTGCTTTTTCTTTTTCTTTTCTTTTTTTCAAGCCTGTAGTATAAGAAACAGGGAATCAAATTCTTAACCTTGCAATTTAGTGCAAAAGTTCTGGCCAACTAGACTAATCTTACTTATTATTTTATCTTTTTCTTTCATAAACAATCCACAAATTTAAAATCTCACGTTTGCAACTTTTATAAAAGTATAAGTAGTACCAACTTTGTAAGCAATTCTAATTATTATTATTTATATAATAAAACAGACCAGTTTTTAAAAAATGTCTTATATGCCATAATTAAGAATTTAAATTAAATAAATTTAACAATTATGAAAATGTCCTATATAATATAGTTGAAAATCTAACGATTAATGTTGTTTCCAAATAATGAAGTGATTCAAGGACAGAATTTTACTAGTACATGTATACATTAGTTGTCAATCCCATAAATTGAAGATACACATGGTATGATATGAGTTATGTGACTTTTTTGAGGCATTGGTTTGAATCGAATTTTTATTTTTTATTTTTGTTCATATAGTCTAATTGGAGTCTTGGAGACCATTCACCCAAATCAATAATAATAAAAAACTAGGAAAATTTACCTATGAATCTCATTTGGGAGAATAGTGATTCATTTAGTTTTAAGAGTTTTCTTTTAAATGAATTAGTCATTTTTATTTTTGGAAAGGAGGATTTATTTAATTTGGTGCCATTTGAGTTTACTTGATTGCCCTTCTGTGAATATTTTTTCCAAATCTTTTAGTCATTGTGAAACAGAAATGGAAATGTTATGTGTGTTGGGATATTTTTTGGGGATTTGGGTGGGTCATTTTGGTAACATTTGCGGGGTGGATGTTTAACGTGTTCAGCATCGAGTGTTGAAACTCATTTTTTGGTGGTGTGGTTCTTTGGCAGGGGAAGTACGGAGTTTGTTTGTTCCGATCCTGGGTGGAATTATCGCAAGGTACATGCATTGGTTTGTTATGTTTTATGTTTAATGTTTTTTGCATTTTGTTGCGTTGGTTTCTGCGGTTGGTTCGGTGTGTTGCTTCATTATTGTGACCCATTTTTGTCGTTACGATGATTCGTTGTTGTGTTTTGTTGTGTTGTTTATTGTGTTTCGTTGGACTGGTCGGGCAGATGATTAAATGTGATTGTGTTGTTTTGTTTATGTTGGTTTTTTGACGGAAAACGTTTTGGGTCATCATTAATGTATCACATGATGTTAGTACGTCTATTATGTACATATGTAGTGTGCCACACGTTTGTGGTGTGTTTTTTTTTTTTTTTGTTTATTTTTCTGTGTGCGATATTTTAGGAGGTATCACATTCGTCTGGGGGGTCGTAACATTGTACACAACACACTGGCTGTCATTGTTTTAGCCCATCAACTGTTTGTGTTACATGCGTGTTTTGGTAATGTTTGTGTAATTGTAATGGTGTAGTTAATTTCAATTCTTATTTGTATGGGTGTAACATGTCCATTCTTATTAGTATGAGTGTTTTGGTAATGTTGGTGTAATTGTAATGGTGTGGTTAATTTCAATTCTTATTTCACATTTGAAGTTTTAGTGTGTTACATTGATTGGAGTGTTACGTTTGAGAAAAGTACAAGTAGTTTTTTAATGTATTACATTAATTGGAGTGTTATGTTTGGAAAAAAATACTCTAAGAAATTTTTTAGAGCATTATTTTGTTACATTTGACAAAAATACACCAGAGAGTTTTTTAGTGTATTACATTGAAGTATTACGTTGAAGTATTACGTTTTTGTTTATAATGTGAGATTTGTTCCAAAGTGATAGAAAATCCAAACCTCTATAGTGTAGATTGTCTAAATGTATAATTTCACATTTTGAGAATTCCACTTTTATCTCTAAAAAATTAAATCCAAATATATAAGGGACTACCTTTTTATATAATTTCTATTTTAATAGGACCTATGGATTTGTGGAAGGTAAAATTATCTCCATATGGAAAGTGAGATGGTGCGTCCAATCCTTTGTACTCTATAAAGACATACCACAATATCAGTGATCATTCCCGACCAGGATAGGTCGGGAGGACTCTCCGATGATCAAGGCAACACCCTAATAAGCTATAACATATAAATATTTTAAAAGGAAATAATTATGAAGCAGAAGCTAATCAAGATTGAGTACAATTAGACTGAATTGGATTCACTCACTTGTCCTATTATACTTTGCATGCTTACCCATTTATAACTATTCTTGTTCAAATTTCATCCGTTGAATCTTGTTTTGATTGAAAGGTTTCTACCTATACCTGGCTTTCTATACCTACACCTAAACCTACCCCCTCTTTAAAAGTTTTTTTTTTTTTTTGAAAAATGCAACAATATATATGATACAATTAAGCCCAGTTTTATACAGTTAATTGAGATACTTACAATTTTTTTATTTTATTTTACAAGGTTGTATTAACGTGTTTCGTAACTTATGATACAAAAATAATTTAAATAAATTCAACTGAAAACTGAAAGGATGTTTTTAACTATTATTTTCTTATTATTAATTTTTAATTTTAAAAAAATTATATCGAAAATAGGTTGGTTACATTGTAAGAGTTTATATAATTTTTGTAACACTTAATATATATTTATATTGTCAACACTTTGGAGAGAAAGGAAATTGCTGATCATAACTGGTAAAACTCAAATTCAAGCATCATGCTACATAAAAAAAAATGCTCCAACTGCTTAGCTAATCTTAATTATAAGTCAAAATTTAAAGAGTTAGTTGAACGATAAAAATTTAAAAATAAGATTTAAAATTTCAAATTCGAATTACTCTAAAGGATACTGGAGTTTTTTTAATTGTTAATTTTAAAATTTTGAAATAAGTTAAAATATATGTAAATATTTAAAATTTCAAATTCGAATTACTCTAAAGGATACTGGAGTTTTTTAATTGTTAATTTTAAAATTTTGAAATAAGTTAAAATATATTAATTATAAAATAATTAAAGGTAATAATAAGTTACAAGTCCTAAGTGTAGTTGATCCTTCCAAGTCCTAATAGTAGGGTTGAGCACATTCCTCTCCATTCCCTATAAAGCTAGGGTGTGCCACAACAAACGTGGGTGGTCTGAAAGTGGGTCCACCACATGGAATAGTAGGGTTGAGCACATTCCTCTCCATTCCCCATAAAACTAGAGTGCGACTATAGTACGAGAAACTGGTTTTGAGGTACCATACATGAAAATAAATATCAGCCATTAGATGTACTCTTTTGATCTGGTGCATCCATTCAAAACTTTTTGTAACCGGTTACAACCGGTAAAAAATTAAACGCACTTACCACTGGCAAAGAAAGGTGACGAAATTAACTAAAATTCACAAAGATTCTGTTTATTTTGAGAGGTAGAATGGAGGAGATTAATAATGAAGGGATTAATAATAAGGGGATTAAATAAAATTGTATTTATTTTGATGATAGTTATTAGTGTAAGAATTGTTAAATTATTTTTATATAAAATAATAAAACAAATAAAAAAATATAAAAAAATAAACATTAATATTTTTAAAAAATTCTCAATATATAAAAAATAAAAAAATTGTTAATCCTCTCACTATTTTTCTAATATCACCTCCACCTTCTCTATCCCAATCCCCCTTTCAACTTTTATCTATGTCCCCTCCTCTATCCTAATCTCTTCCCCAACTCTACAAACAAACACAACACTAAGGTGCCGTTTGGTAACACTTACGTTTTCAGTTTTCTGTTTATATTTACAAAATTTTAAAAAACTCAAATAAAAACTTGTTTGGTAAATAAGATTACCTAACTAGATTGGTTAAGAGATCATTTGTTTTCAATTATCTCTGTTTCTCTATTTCAATATGAGATATTAAGAATTCTCATTCATGAAAATCTCAAAATATAATGATATGACTAAAATTATATTGAGACAGAATTTTGGGAGCTTGCTAGATTTTTAATATCAAAATTGATGTGATGCCAACCAAATTGAAAACTTGGGAGGCCATTTTGGGGGTACCATTGGATGTTAAAATGGGCCTCATTTTGGGTAAGTGATTCACATTGTTCCAAAACTATCTCATATGGATATGGACCAATAAAAAAAAATGTGAAACCTACTTAGCCTTGACTTATCTCACAATTGAAACTATACATGATGATGACATCGAACAACCCAACTTATTATTATTTTTTTACTATTAAAATTATACCACATTATTTTTTAAGTCACTTAAACCTTAGGGGGAATTATTTTATCTTTTAAAATTTTCAATTATGTTGTGTATTTTTTCAATTATCTATTGGTTATTTTATGCAATGTACAAGAAATAATAAAAAAATAATAGGTATGAAACCAATAGAATTGTATGAACATATCAGGTAGGATATGAGGTAAACCTATGTGATAATTTTTCCACAACTTAGTTAATATTTCAGAAGTCTCTCCACTCATGGTTAATAATTTTTTAGTTTAATGATTTAACAAAAATTAATTAATTTTTAGTATATAATTAAATCATTAAACACTCTGGAGATTGTGTCTTTGAAAAGTAGTTGAGCACTAAAAAGATAATAGAAGATCCAATGAAGAACAAGACAACTGCACTATTTGTGTGAACACAGTTCAGCAACACAAACAAAAAATGCCAATGTTCATATCAGCCAAATGGATCCTCATCCTAAGAGAACCATTATGCTCACTGTTTGGCTGAAAAGAAAATGCAAGAAAGTGTGCCTGGCATCTGTGTGTGTGTGTGTGTTCACACTTGACATTTCACAATGAGATAACTTGTGCATCAATTTCTATCTTCCAACAAAGAAAATGCAAGTTTGCAAAGAAATTAACTCAATAAAGAAATTAATTATCTAAAAATTTACCTAAGAAATCAATCATGAGCCTCCCATCAGTAGCCCGACCGGCCGGTTTCTTGAAGTAGGTCATCCCATAAGGCCCGGACTGTGCGGGAAAAGCTGCCCAAAACCCGCCCGTGTCGGAATTCGAATCGCCAAAGTTGAAAATAGCCTCAAAAGCACATTTGCAATCTGCTAGTCGTCCTGATATTGCCATAAACATCGTAAAAACGGCTAAGAGTCGCCGGAAATTTTTAAGAGTGTTTTGCCATAAACATCAATCAATATAGAATTACGCATAGTTAGCTTAAGATTCTACAATTAGCAGCAAATCCATAAAGTGGCCTTAATGTAGAAGATTCAATTAAAAAATAAAAAGAAAGAAAACAGAAGAAGAAGAAGAAAGATTTTGCAGCAGAGAATTATTACCGTTGGAAGCAGAGACTCCATAGAAAGATTCAAATCGAAGCTCTGTCAGATTGAAATACTCAAACCCATCTACACATTTGCTAACAAACCCAACAACAAATAGAACCCATAAACCCATAACCATCCTCATAGCTTTGAATCTTTTGATATCTTAGAGAAATCTTAATTCTTGTTGAATCTTTGATACCTTCAATACCACCAAAGCGTATAAATTGTATTAGTTGGCAATATGACAAACCTTCTTCTTCTTCTTTTTTAATTGAAGAAAGCTTTGTTTTGTTTTGAATCATTTGAAACCTTTAACACGATCAATGGGTTTAAATAGGCAATGCTGTTAATTTTATTTCTATCCTCTAAATTATTATTATTATTATTATTTTCTTTTATCTTTTAATTATCAATTTAATTTATTTAATATGCATTTTTTATTTTTTATTTTTGTTCATGTAGTCTAATTGGAGTCTTGGAGACCATTCATCCAAATCAATAATAATAAAAAACTAGGAAAATTTACCTATGAATCTCATTTGGGAGAATAGTGATTCATTTAGTTTTAAGAGTTTTCTTTTAAATGAATTAGTCATTTTTATTTTTGGAAAGGAGGATTTATTTAATTTGGTGCCATTTGAGTTTACTTGATTGCCCTTCTGTGAATATTTTTTCCAAATCTTTTAGTCATTGTGAAACAGAAATGGAAATGTTATGTGTGTTGGGATATTTTTTGGGGATTTGGGTGGGTCATTTTGGTAACATTTGCTGGGTGGATGTTTAACGTGTTCGGTATCGAGTGTTGAAACTCATTTTTTGGTGGTGGTGTTTTGGCAGGGGAAGTACGGAGTTTGTTTGTTCCGATCCTGGGTGGAATTATCGCAAGGTACATGCATCGGTTTGTTATGTTTTATGTTTAATGTTTTTTGCACTTTGTTGCGTTGGTTTCTGCGGTTGGTTTGGTGTGTTGCTTCATTATTGTAACCCATTTTTGTCGTTACGATGATTCGTTGTTATGTTTTGTTGTGTTGTTTATTGTGTTTCGTTGGACTGGTCGGGCAGATGATTAAATGTGATTGTGTTGTTTTGTTTATGTTGGTTTTTTGACGGAAAACATTTTGGGTCATCGTTAATGTATCACATGATGTTAGTACGTCTATTATGTACATATGTAGCGTGCCACACGTTTGTGGTGTGTTTTTTTTTTTATTTTTATTTTTCTGTGTGCGATGATTTTAGGAGGTATCACATTCGTCTGGGGGTCGTAACATTGTACAGAACACACTGGCTGTCATTGTTTTAGCCCATCAACTGTTTGTGTTACATGCGTGTTTTGTTAATGTTTGTGTAATTGTAATGGTGTAGTTAATTTCAATTCTTATTTGTATGGGTGTAACATGTCCATTCTTATTAGTATGAGTGTTTTGGTAATGTTGGTGTAATTGTAATGGTGTAGTTAATTTCAATTCTTATTTCACATTTGAAGTTTTAGTATGTTACATTGATTGGAGTATTACGTTTGAGAAAAGTACAAGTAGTTTTTTAGTATATTACATTGATTGGAGTGTCATGTTTGGAAAAAAATACTCTAAGAAATTTTTTAGAGCATTATTTTGTTACATTTGACAAAAATACACCAGAGAGTTTTTTAGTGTATTACATTGAAGTATTACGTTTTTGTTTGTAATGTGAGATTTGTTCCAAAGTGAGGGAAAATCCAAACCTCTATAGTGCGGATTGTCTAAATGTATAATTTCACATTTTGAGAATTCCACTTTTATCTCTAAAAAATTAAATCCAAATATATAAGGGACTACCTTTTATATAATTTCTATTTTAATAGGACCTATGGGTTTGTGGAAGGTAAAATTATCTCCATATGGAAAGTGAGATGGTGCGTCCAATCCTTTGTACTCTATAAAGACATACCACAATATCAGTGATCATTCCCGACCTATCTGGAAGGTAAAATTATCTCCATATGGAAAGTGAGATGATGCGTCCAATCCTTTGTACTCTATAAAGACATACCACAATATCAGTGGTCATTCCCGACCAGGATAGGTCGGGAGGACCCTCCGATAATCAAGGCAACACCCTAATAAGCTATAACATATAAATATTTTAAAAGGAAATAATTATGAAGCAGAAGCTAATCAAGATTGAGTACAATTAGACTGAATTAGATTCACTCACTTGTCCCATTATACTTTGCTTGCTTACCCATTTATAACTATTCTTGTTCAAATTTCATCTGTTGGATCTTGTTTTGATTGAAAGGTTTCTACCTATACCCGGCTTTCTACCTACACCTAAACCTACCCCCTCTTTAAAAGTTTTTTTTTTTTTTTTGAAAAATGCAACAATATATATGATACAATTAAGCCCAGTTTGATACAGTTAATTGAGATACTTACAATTTTTTTATTTTATTTTACAAGGTTGTATCAATGTGTTTCGTAACTTATGATACAAAAATAATTTAAATAAGTTCAACTAAAAACTGAAAGGATGTTTTTAACTATTATTTTCTTATTATTAATTTTTAATTTTAAAAAAATTATATCGAAAATAGGTTGGTTACATTGTAAGAGTTTATATAATTTTTGAAACACTTAATATATATTTATATTGTCAACACTTTGGAGAGAAAGGAAATTACCGATCATAACTGGTAAAACTCAAATTCAAGCATCATGCTACATAAAAAAAAATGCTCCAACTGCTTAGCTAATCTTAATTATAAGTTAAAATTTAAAGAGTTAGTTGAACGATAAAAATTTAAAAATAAGATTTAAAATTTCAAATTCGAATTACTCTAAAGGATACTGGAGTTTTTTAATTGTTAATTTTAAAATTTTGAAATAAGTTAAAATATATGTAAATTAATTTGAATACTTGATTATAAAATAATTAAAGGTAATAATAAGTTACAAGTCCTAAGTGTAGTTGATCCTTCCAACCCACCAACCAAATGTTTTGAAGTTGGATTGGATCTTTTGATGTAGTGGGTCCACCACATGGAATAGTAGGGTTGAGCACATTCCTCTCCATTCCCTATAAAACTAGGGTGTGCCGACAACAAACATGGGTGGTCTGAAATTGCACATTCCTCTCCATTCCCTATAAAACTAGGGTGTGCCGACAACAAACATGGGTGGTCTGAAATTGCACATTCCTCTCCATTCCCTATAAAACTAGGGTGTGCCGACAACAAACATGGGTGGTCTGAAATTGCACATTCCTCTCCATTCCCTATAAAACTAGGGTGTGCCGACAACAAACATGGGTGGTCTGAAATTGCACATTCGTCTCCATTCCCTATAAAACTAGGGTGTGCCGACAACAAACATGGGTGGTCTGAGGTTGAAACTCAATAAAATTATAAGTTTTATATATGAAATTTTTATTTATATATTGTTACTCATAAATAAAAAGATTACATTAATTAACTATTTACATGAATTATTTTTGTGTGTATATATATATCACTATCACGACAAAAGAAAAGACGAAAACATATATATCAGTTGGGATCTTTTGTTTGATATTTCTACTTTTCTCTTTTAAGGTATTTTTCTATTATATGATAAATTTTTCTAACAATCGTACAGTGAAAATGGATTTGGATAGAAGAACAAAAGATATCCAAATAGAAAGTACCCCATCTACAAAGTCGACATCCATTTAGTGTTCTGTGGATTCTAATTAAACACATAATATTTGTGCGATATAATAGGATTCTAATTAAGCATTTTTTATATAATTAATTTCACTAACTAGAAATTAGTTGGATGTAATTTAACTTGTGAAAAAAGTAACCCATGGAGCAAATTTTTGTTAGGATGGCGTTCTTAACTAAGATCGGTGAGACTCGAAATAACAAATAAGGAAGAAAAAAACAAATCAAACAAATCACACACACAAGAATACAAGAATTTACGTGATTTACCCTAGAATAGAGCTACGTCTATGACTGTTGCGGTTTTCACTATAATTAGAAAAATACAACTTTCCCTTTTTAACGTAAAAGAGGCATCACCTTATGAACAATAAGATTGAGTGAACAGTACTTATTAGGATCCACCGACCCAACAAATATATAGAGCCATCATTAGATCTATCAATGAATTTAGTGAATGAACAAATTTAAATATTTAATTTACAAAATATATTAACGTAACATAGTCTGGTGTTTAGACACCAAACTGAAAAGAAGTCATTCTCCTCTTAATAATAGAATTCTCAATTATTCATTACTTCCATCAAAACATGATGTTTAGTTGAATGGTTTTGGTGTTGTAATAAAGTAATGTACAAAACTACATCTTAAAGAGGCCCTATTTCAAAATTGCATGAAGTTTTTGAAGATGTTGAAAATTAACAACCGTGCTATATGTACAGAAATTATTAATTTATGGGTAAATAATGCAAATAATCTCTGTAGTTTACACGATGTGTCAATTTGATTCATGTAGTTTCAATTTGCTCGATTTTATCCCTTAATTTAACGGATTGTGTCATTTTAGTCCAATAAATAACGGTTGTTAAGTTAATTTAACCGAAAGTCAAACAGCGTCAATTTGATCCATGTACTTTACATGATGTGTCAATTTGGTCCCTATACTTTCAATTTTCTCGATTTTGACAGGGACTAAATTGACACATTGTGAAAAATACAGGGAGCAAATTGACGTATTATTTGACTTTCCGTTAAATTAATTTAACAACTATTTTTATTGGACTAAAATGACACAATCCGTTAAATTAAGGGGCAAAATCGAGTAAATTAAAATTAGAGGAACCAAATTGACACATCGTGTAAACTACAGGAACTATTTACATAATTTTCTCTTAATTTATTGACACAACCATTCTTTAAATGATTTTTGTACAAATAATTTTATTCAAAGAAAAAATCACGATTCTTGTGTACACAAGACACGTGTTTTTTAGATTAATGACAATTTAACAAGGAGATCAAAATGCCACCACGTTTGTTATTAATGACACCAAATTTCCTAACTTTTTCTTGAGCAAGTGTTGAAAAACTTTTCATTTCCTCTTAATAAAATTTTTCTTGGGAAAAGTGGGGAAAGAAAAATTGGAAAGCATTGAAGAAGCATGTGATTGAAGGATTTGTTTTCTTGGGAAAAGTGGGGAAAGAAAAATTGGAAAGCATTGAAGAAGCATGTGATTGAAGGATTTGTTTTCTTGGGCAAAGCTCACAAAGGGAATTTCGTGTCACACTTGTCTTCTTCATCTTCTTTTTCTTGCAGGCCAAACACGCATTGAAATTCTCTACATAGAATTAT